TGATTTGGAGCGTTTAAGCTTTGTTTTAGTCTTATTCTTTGATTCCTCCCTGGTCAACACCTGGGGAGGATTGAAAGGTAGTGCGCAACATCGGAGCTATAGCAGTGCCTGTTCTGTTTACGCGCTCTGTTTCTTGACATTTGTTGGCAAAAAAAAGGAAGCAAGGGCTTTGATATGAAATCAAACATCAGGCGAGCGCCTCGATGCCAGAACAAGGTGACACGGGGTTGCGAAACTGTGCATAGCACTAACTAACTATGAAAGGGCAAGTGAGCTTCAAACAGCGTAGTATCAAATGAGTGTGCAAACGCAATGGGACGTTATTCGCTCTGCCCGCAAATCTGCGATCAATTTTCATTCTTTTGGTGCCCCATTTTTCGAACTACTTGTACATACTTGCAAGAGGCAATTTGGACAGAATCTGGACAACATATGACAACATACGTTCAGTATCGTTCAGTCATATGCAACATTTGCTCCAACGTGCAGGAACCATGCACCACTGCCTCGTCACTTGCCTCGTCACCAGCCAAGTCACCAGAGGCGCAGCACGACAGTCCCACTGCAGTGTGGATACTGCGGGTACCTGCACACCCGCCTTTTCGATTTGGCAACCGGCCACAGTTGGTGGACATCCCGCAATGCTTTCACGGGGTTGTACAAGACCTGCCACGAAATGAACATGAGAGATTCTACACGTGTGTCACCCATGTGTCAGCATGTGTCAGGCCAAAGACTTCCTACAAAACCGTCTGCGAATCATGAATTTAAACGTCTTGAATTCGACATAACTTGATTGCATTCGAAAGACAATGTTTTTGATGCATTCAGCGTCATTGAGGAATGGAATATTCACAGATTCGGAGGTCATTTTTCTACAGTCCCTTCTGTCGAAACCATGGCCTTTTTTATGTCAGACTGAGCAGCAGAGAAGCAGCTGCCTTGAGGAGCGCTGTGGCATGCTGGGTATTATATACAGTCCAAACATTTGCACTGCATGACGTTGCATGATGCTGCATGATACATCAGAGCAATTAAGAATTTATAAGAATTGCATAGGATTGCATCAGCATCAGGACATGATGGTGCACTTGCAAAAGGCTGAGTCAGCTTCGGCGGACCTCAAGAAATGGGCAAGCATTTGTGAGAAGGCCATGCCAACCAAGCTCTTTCAAATTTTCTAAGCATTCTACCAAAAAACACTCAGAGGATCTCAGAGGTATATCTGTTGCTTTGGTATACAGTTGCTTGGGTTTACAAGTCTAGTTTCAGTGTTTTTACAGTAGCATTTGAATTACATACTGTGAGCATTGCTTGCATTTGCCGAATTGGCCATTTTGCAGGGCTTGGAGGCCTCAGTGGAAGAATTGACCAAAGCCTTGGACGAGGTATCCAAAGCTCAGAAGGCGAGGTTTGAGGGTCAGTTTTTCGGTCCAGCTTTGACAATCTTCTACAAACATCTATTGAACAGTATCGAAAGTTATTCACTATTGTAGTTGAACCATAGTCAAATTGAACAATTTTTCATCATATACACATACTCAACTAGTTCATAGTTGGACAACTTTCACTGTTGGTGAAATTGAAGTGGGGCTTCTTGATTGATGTAATCAAACTTGGGGTTGTCAAACCATTGGATGTGAAGGTGCATGTACTCACAGAGTAACGCGTTCTAAATTCAATACTTTGATGCAACAATGCAGCATCTTTGGATACGCAGAATTCCAAAACTCCACCATTTTGGCACGCCACGATGTGCTCCAAAGTTCGTCGACTTTCAGGCCCTAACTTTGGCATCTTTGGCTGTGGCCGAGACCTCCAAGCAATTGGAGGCGACCGAAGTGACATCGTGCCAATTGTTGGAGCATCGGTCTCCGTTGAGGTGAAACGAGAAGGGCATAACAGGTGGCATGGGGTGCCATGAAACCTTTGTACAGGGCATTTCTTGCAACACGTTGCAACTCTGTTTGCGAAATGAAATGTGTTTGAAGTGCTGACAGGTCTGCCAGTTGGCTGAGATACAGGAAACTGAAGATTCGTACACACCTTCCTTTCTGATGTTGGTTCGAGTTTGTACCTTTCGAGAAGAAGCCTCATTCTTTTTGATGGAACCTAAAGGTGTGAACGGTGAACTCTCAGGTGTATCCTGAAACGTTCATAGCGTCGACTGCAAGCTCTTGGGCTTTCACCGGACGTCACGGTGTCTCTATGCCAGAAACATCAGTAAATACACGTTTTTTTTTCACATACAGCTTCTATGAAAAGATCATATAGTCCTCGTTGCTTTAGCTCAAGTTGTAAAAAGGGTTGAAAACATGTTCCCCGCAACCCCCTGGTTCGCCCACACTCAAACAACACATCCAAACAATATGATATACTTATATATCACCAGAGGATGAATGAAAACACTGGTTATACGCAATGATTTTGACTTTAAGTTCTCAGGATTTAGCGTTTTAATTTAGCGTTGAGGGTTTTTGGTGTTTGTCACGAAAGGTAGCGTCAGCTACCTGAGTTCTCCGTGCTTCAGCACAAGCTTAGGGGGTATTGGGGGGCCAGCCCACGGAATTCAAGGAATTCTCGCCGTTATGTATTGGATATCAATTATAAGGGGGGGGGGCCCCCCCCCGTGCCATTGACGGTTGGCGTCGATTTTGCGGCACCACTTCTTGTGCATGTAGGCAGGGTGGAATGGGTTAAGGTGTCTCGATACATGTAGCGCAGCTGTAACCTGCAACTCTCTTTATACTGACTGGCAATACTGCATATAGGATTTATCTCCGGCGCCAAGCGCCACTTTCAGAGCATGGGTGCTTTGCATTGTGGCGCACCTGGTCCACCGGCCTGTCCATCGGCCTGTCCATCGGCCTGTCCATCGGCCTCATCGGCTCCATCGGCTCCATCGGCCTCATCGGCTCGGCTCCATCGGCCTCATCGGCTCCAGCGGCTTGAGCGGCCTCATCGAGGCTCCATCGGCCTCATCGGCCTCATCGGCCTCATCGGCTCCAGCGTCCATCGGCCTCATCGGCTCCAGCGGCTCCAGCGACTCCATCGGCCTCATCGGCTCCATCGGCCTCAACAGCTCCAGCGACTCCATCGGCCTGCGTCAGCTCCATCGGCCTCATCGGCTCCATCGGCCTCAGCGGCTCCATCGGCCTGATCGGCTCCAGCGGCTCCAGCGGCTCGAGGGGCCTCATCGGCTCCATCGGCCTCATCGGCTCCATGCCGTGCATCGGCTCCATCGGCTCCATCGGCTCCAGCGGCTTCATCGGCCTCATCGGCTCCACTATACCTCCATCGGCCTCATCGGCTCGGCCCCATCGGCCTCATGGCTCGGCTCCATCGGCTTCATTGTCTCCAGCAGCTCCATCGGCCTCATCGGCTCCATCGGCCTCATCGGCTCCAGCGGCTCCATCGGCCTCATCGGCTCCATCGGCCTCATCGGCCTCATCGGCTTCATCGGCCTCAGCGGCTCCATCGGCCTCATCGGCCTCGTCGGCCTCATCGGCCTGATCGGCTCCATCGGCCTCATCGGCCTCATCGGCTCCATCGGCCTCATCGGCCTCATCGGCGGCCCCATCGGCCTCATCGGCCTCATCGGCTCCATCGGCCTCATCGGCCTCATCGGCTCCAGCAGCTCCGGCGGCTTCATCGGCATCATCGGCTCCATCGGCCTCATCGGCCTCATCGGCCTCATCGGCTCCAGCGGCTCCATCGGCTCCAGCGGCTCATCGGCCTCATCGGCCTCATCGGCCTCATCGGCCTCATCGGCTCCATCGGCCTCATCGGCCTCATCGGCCTCATCGGCCTCATCGGCCTCATCGGCCTCATCGGCCTCATCGGCTCCAGCGGCTCCATCGGCTCCAGCGGCTCCATCGGCCTCATCGGCCTCATCGGCCTCATCGGCCTCATCGGCCTCATCGGCTTCATCGGCCCCAGCGGCGTCATCGGCTCCAGCGGCTCCATCGCCTCCAGCACCTCCATCGGCCTCATCGGCCTCATCGGCCTCATCGGCTCCATCGGCTCCATCAGCGTCAGCGGCTCCAGCGGCCTCATCGGCTCAATTGGCCTGATCGGCGCCAGCGGGTCCAGCGGCTTCATCGGCATGTCTTTCTGGAAAGCCTATTGCAGCCCGAAGCAGGCGGAATCAGTTGCGTCCATTTTGCGCCTATGGTTTGCTTCGCTGCCTTTTGATTAGTCTTGATCCATAGCCTCTTGGCTTGCGATATAGCCTCCAAGTGTCGAACGTACGGGCCCCCCCCCCCGAAAATGGTCATGGGTTCAATTCCCACGGGTGACGCGGTCACGGGCCCCCACATTAGAGGCACACTTTCCATGAGGGAGATGTCCCTGCAGTCCAGCATAATTGGTATGCTTCAGCCTCAATAACAGTTGCTGCAAGGGGTCGTGCATCATTTCACGCTGCACAAGACACCGTATCATGCAGTCATGCTCTGGATAAAATCATCTTAGACTGCGCAAAAACGTTTTTGGTGTATCATCTTAGGGGCGCAGCATTTTGACACCACTCCTCTCCCACTACACTACCTTTCGTCCGCCTCCGCCTGCTCTCAAGTTGTTTTGGACAGCAAACAACTTAAACCCTGCACAGGAATTTGAGCATGTCAAAGATATGCGGGATTGGCCGCCGGCATACCTAGGGGTTGCAGCGAACATGTTTGACTGTAAAATCTTGCACCTGAGGACATGTGGACCGTTGTCTAGTTGGAGTTACTGTCATAGACTTCTGAATCCATGAGCCGCACAGATCTACAAAGCAATTTTGAATGTCCAATCCACGTTTCCTTTTAGCAAATGAGCAGTGTTGAAATTGCTGCGGCGTTTGTTCGCATTGCCAATGTGGTGACACGTGGAGGCAGAGGAGGCTTCCACCAGTCAGGAGATCAAGAGTCGCCTTGCTGCCATGTTACAGGCGCCAGACATCGCGGCACTAGGTTTGGCTTTGTCACGAAGTTTTCTTCAGTGCCATCGAGTCTGCC